GCCGGGAGGGTGGCGCCGCCCCCCGGCTCGGTTCTCAGTCTCTTCTCTCCCCCTGCGCCCACACCCCGCTGTCTCCAGACTGCAAACCCAACTGCAAGGTGAGACCTGGGGGCCCCCCACCCCGGGAGGAATGGGCCCCGGAGAATGGGGGGGGTACTTTTCTGGTCGGTGCATAGCCCCACACTGTCCCCTGTCTCCCCAAGGCCGGTTCTTGGGGGAGGGGGGGTCTAGAGCAGAGGTTCTCAACCTGTGGGTCGCGACCCTTTCACAGGGGTCGCCTAAGACCATCGGAAAGCACATATATAATTCCATATTGTTTTTGTGACTAATTACTATGTTTTCATTATGTTCAATTTGTAACCATGAGATCGGGGGTCACCACAACATGAGGAACTGTATTAAAAGGTCGCGGGGTGAGGAAGGTTGAAAACCGCTGGTCTAGCGTCACCTTGGGCCGCGGGCTGCCACCTGCTGGCGGTGTTGTTCCCTCTCTGCGCTGAGCTGGGGGCTGGGCCAGTTGGACGGAGGGGTGTGGTGATGGGAGACCGACAGGGGCAGGCGCCTGGAGCCCTGGGCCTCGCAAGGAGCCGCTCACCGGTGCCGTGGTGGTCACAGGAGCAGGGAACCGAGTGGCAGGAACCTGGGGCCCAGGCTCCCTGGGGTGAGGCCTGAGAGCCCTTGAGGGGAAGGGGAGGGACCTCAGGGCGGCGGGGCCCCCTGCACAGGGGATGAGGCTGGGGGTGAGGCGGGGTTGGTGGCTGCTGGGCGGAGCCCAGGAGAATGGGGAGTGGAGGGGAGACAGCCCCTGGGGTGCTCCCTGCCATGCCTGGGCCTCTGCAGGAGCCCCGAAGCATGGTGGGGTCCCTGGTGCTGGAGTTGGAGCTGGGTTTGAGCCCCAGCCCCCGTCCTGGGCCCGGGTTTCTGAGATGGGACCCAGTGAGAACCTGTCTCCCAGCAGGCTGTGAGGGTCAGGTGCACGGTGCCCAGGCATGGTTGTTGGAAGTGTTCTTGTGATTCTGCAGGCCCCCCCGTAATCACATAGATTTCGGGGTGCGTGATGTGGAGGCCAGTGATGGCGAACCTTTTGAGCTCGCGTATCAGCATTTTGAAAAACCCTAACTGAACTCTGGTGCCGTGTCACATATAAAAAATTTTGATATTTGCAACCATAGTAAAACAAAGATTTATATTTTTGCTATTTATTTTATATATTTAAATGCCAGTTAACAAAGAAAAATCAACCAAAAACATGAGTTTGTGTGTCACCTCAGACACCCGTGTCATAGGTTCGCCATCACTGCCCTAGGCACAGGCAGGGCTGCATGAGGCTCTGTGCCCAGGCAGGTGACAGCCACCTGGGGCACAGGAGCAGGCGCTGAAGGGGGAGCAGGGTGGTCTGGGGGTTGCAGGAAAACGGGGGCAGGTTAGGGTGTCCCGGACAGGACACGTCACGGGAGGGTCAGGGGGTGTGTGACAAGCGAGGCGACTCCGGTCTGTTGTTCTGCATGAGCTCGGGTCTGCCCCCTGGGAGCGCCCCCTCTGTGAATGAGGGACTAGGTTCAGCTGTCCTGCCAGCTGGTGAGCTGGCTGCTTGGCAGGAGGCCGGGCAGCACGGGGAGGCTGGTGTGCGACCTGAGGAAGAGGTGATGCGGGTGGGGCCCAGGCGGGTGTCAGGGACCGAGAAACACGGTGCACTGGGGAGACCCCGGCCAGTTGGCCTGGGGTCAGGTAGGTGGCTGGCACAGGCCATGCCCCGGCTTGTGTCAGTCTAGAGTGGACGGTGGGTGGGTAGGTGGACAGACAGATGGATGGAAGTCATGCCTCTCCCAGGCAGGCCCCTGGGAGGCAGGAGCAGGCAGGCAGGGGCTAAGGAGTGGCTTCCAGGAAGTGGGTGGCCGCAGGGTGCAGGCCGGCAGGGAGCAAGGGGGCGGGCGAGGAGGGTCGAGGGGGAT